TTAGACTAAAGATCCTGTGTGCCACAACTAAGAGCTGGGTGCAGCCAAATAAATAAATAGAAATGAAAATAAAAACAAATCATTAGCTCTTGATGACTGAACTCAGTCTCCAGCCCCTGTCCCTCCACCACAACCCTGGAGCTGAAATTCCAACTCTCTAACCATGCCTTGATCTTCCTAGTGACCAGTTCAAAACTATCTAGGGGCCACCAGTCATCTATTAGCATACAAAAGACTCTGAAGGTTCCAGGGGTTTTAGGTGCTATGTGCTAGAAACTAGGAGATAAAAACCAGGTATGTCTGTTTCCCAGGGTGCCACAACCAGGCCTCCCCAGCCGCTTGCCCAGCTCTGAACACTGGGTGTCCTGTCTAATCAACACACTCAACCACGTGTCATCTAGGGCTGATGGTGCCCAGTTTACAGAGCACACCTGGCATGGAGTTGTTTGTTTACATGTGTTAGAGAGAGTAGGACGGTTGTTCCAGGTCATACAGTTAATGAGTAGTGTCGCCTGGATTTGAACCAGGTGCGTCCGATGCCAGAGTCCCAGTGTGTCCTTCCACTGGGCTGCTCAGAGGCACTGAAGGCTGACCTGACCTCCCGCAAACATCAAGTAGCAGAAGGCGCACATACCAGGGTGGGAGGGGCAGCCGGCACACAGTAGGCGCTTTGTGAATACTTGCTGAGTCAGCAAAGGATTGGCAAGTCCTTCTCCCCACACTCTCCAGGGTTCAGGGTGTCATCAGCTGCATAAGACTCATACCCATGATCTAGAAGATTGTAAGTCAGCTAGGGCCACAGACCTCGTGTTACTCAGAGGGAGAGTGAGGATTGGTTGGGCTCAGGGACTGTCTCAGACCACTGGCATGGTGCGACAGTGACCATGCCAGGCCTCCTCCCCCCAGCTCTGCACGCTGCATCGCTGGAGTCTCACAAGAGCAGGCTGGGAGAAGTAGAACGGGGACCATTCCAAAGAGGAGAAAAGAGAGAGCTGGAAAGCAGGTGCGCAACCTCCTTTTTTGTGCATTTCTGGCCACCTGTGTGTACAAGTTGAAGTCTGGGTGTGGCTGCCCAGGCTCAGTCCCTGGAGAGTAGAAAGGGAGGTATCTTGGAGGGGTGGAATCATCATCAAGACCAAGACCTCCCTGACCCCTCAGATCCCTGCCTGGCTGGGAAACGTCAGGGCCAGAGGATGCCTGGCCGGTCTGGGGCTCCCTGGCCCAGAGCCGTGGACTGTGCTGCCCAAGCTGCCCCTGATCTGTGACTCTGGACCCTGCTCTGGGTGCGACCCCGGTATAAGGAGTAAATGCTTCGAGCACTGGTTTCTCATCTTTAAAATGGGTGTGGCAGGACGTCCCTGGCAGCCCAGTGGTTAAAACTCTGGGCTTCCAATGCAAGGGATGTGGATTCGACCCCTGGTCAGGGAATTGAGGTCTCACATGCCAGGTGGCCAGGCTGATAAAATAAAAAAATAAAATGGGTGTGTGATATGATGTTATATTTACCTTAAGGGGTTGTTGTGAGGATTAAATGAAGTGAGTGAGTGACAGCCAGTGGTCGGCACTGATAACCGTGGTTTCCTTCCTTGTTCCCTCTCTGCCTCTCCCACCCCTGCCCTTTCTTTTGTCCTTCCTTCCTAGCCAACACCTCTGGGAATGGTGTTAGAGAAAGAACTAGGTACTCCAGGACACAGAAAACAACCTCCACCAGGGAACTTGGGGATGGAAAAGGCCTTGTCAGACCAGCTGTGGAAGGGTGACAGACAGCTCCACCCTGCCCAGATCCCTGGGCTCCTCTAGTGCTGGGGAGCTCTGGGAGTCACACCAGCTGAGGCCCCACTCCAGCTCCATCAGGGCTTCAGGTCCCTGGAGTGACATGGAAAGGGGGTCCCAGGGAGGCACATTTTTCACCCGGAGTCTTACAGCTGATGGGGTTCCCCAGTGGCTGACCGTTACCTGCCCACCCACCTGCCAGTTGACCTCCAGGGCCAGCCAGGGGGATGCATCGCCTACTTATTGGTGCCAGGCTCTGCCGTAGGAATAGTCTGTTCCTTCCTGCTGGGATCTGCCAGGGTCCCCTACGCAAGGTCAGCTTGTGTGCATATGAAGTCGCTTCATTCGTGTCTGATTCTTTGCGACCCCATGGACTGTAGCCAGCCAGGCTCCTCTGTCCATGGGATTCTCCAGGCAAGAGTACTGGAGTGGATTGCCATGCCCTCTTCAGGGAATCTTCCTAACCCAAGGATCAAACCCACAGTCTTCTTCATCTCCTGCATTGGTAGGTGGGTTCTTTACCACTAGCACCACCTAGGAAGCCCTACTGCTGCTGCTAAGTCACTTCAGTCATGTCCGACTCTGTGTGATCCCATAGATGGCAGCCCACCAGGCTCCCCCATCCCTGGGATTCTCCAGGCAAGAACACTGGAGTGGGTTGCCATTTCCTTCTCCAATGTGTGAAAGTGAAAAGTGAAAGTGAAGTCGCTCAGTCGTGTCCGACTCTTAGCGACCCCATGGACCACAGCCTACCAGGCTCCTCCATCCGTGGGATTTTCCAGGCAAGAGTACTGGAGTGGGCTGCCATTGCCCTAAGGTCAGCTCAAAAAGGAAAGACAACAGGAGCTGCCTCCTGTCCTGTATCTCAGGAGGAGGAAAGACAGATGGGGAAATGGATGAGGTGAGGCCATGAGAACACCTATGAGCACCCATGAATACACCCCTTCTTGTGTGCTGCGTTTTGAATACAGAACACACACTCACCCACGTTGCCCAACAGTCTGGGTAAGAATGCTTAGACCCAGGTTATAGATGAGCAGAGTGAGGCCCAGGAGAGGACAGGGTCACCTGGAGAAAAGTCAGAGGCAGCAGGGGGAATAGATGCTTTGGAATTAGACTGCCTGAGTTTGAATCCCAGCCCTGCCATTTCCAGGCTGCGTGACCTTGAGCCAGTGCCTTGACTTTTCTGAGCCTCTGTTTCCTCATCGGTAAAGTGGATAGAATACCCTTTCCATCTCAGGTTATCAGGAAGAAGGAAACAGCGACAGAAAAGACCCACACAGTGCCCAGCACACAGTAGGTGTGCAGCACATTTCGGTTCCTGCCCCGACTCCCAGCTCCCTTGAGCCTCCTTCCTCTGCTTCACACCCGAGCCCAAATCTCCTCTTCAGCCCTGATGAAGGAGTGAGAATTGACCTAAAGATGGCTTCTGCCGGCCTGACAGCTCCAAAACCTGCTTTTGCCCACCACAGGGCCGGCAGCAGGGTCAAGTGCAGCCTCAGAAGGAGAACCCTGGGAGGGGAGTCTTAGTATTTCTGCAGGTGAGGTCATGGAGTCTCCAAAAAGCCACCCCTCCCACTTCTGTTTCACTCTGCAGTTCCCCAGTGCTTATTACCATCCACCTCAGTTTACAAAAGTCAACTGCACCATGTCAGAGTTTCATTCACAGCATTCCAGGACCCCTGCTGGGGCCCTGACTTCAGCTCCCAGCAGCCCTCTCACCTAGGCCCAGGTTGAGTCCTGATCCCCACCCTAGACCTAAGCCCAGGTCTCAGATAGACTGTGTCCTTAGAGGGGTAATACATCGGCCACCTGATGTGAAGAACTGACTCACTGGGAAAGACCCTGATGCTGGGAAAGACTGAAGGCAGGAGGAGAAGGGGACGGCGGAGATGGCTGGATGGCATCACCGACTCAATGGACATGAGTTTGAGCAAGCTCCGGGAGTTGTTGATGGACAGGGAGGCCTGGCGTGCGGCAGTTCAGGGGGTTGCAGAGTCAGACACAACTGAGCGACTGAACTGACTTAGAGGGGTAAGGGGGATAGTGGAGGGGCACAGTCAGAAGAATCACCCTCGCCAAAGAGGGAACTCCTGGCTGCCACAGCACAGAGCTCCTCAGTGGGATTCTTCCTCTCCTCCAGGAGCCGTTCCTGCCCTGAGGCTGAGGCGCTGAGCCTCCCTAGGGTGGACCTGAGCCCACTACTCAGGTTCCCAGGCTTGAGAGTCCCAGGCCCCTCTTCTGAGGATCTGAGCAGATGTTGAGAGAATCTGGGTAAAATGGAGGCGGGGGCTAGATCCTTGGCCCCATTGCCACCTGATTCAGCTGAGCCTCCAACATCATCCCCCTTGGGAAGGACCAGACCGATCTGGTTTGGAGGGGGCTGCCTGGTCCTCTGAAGTGGCCCCAGTTTATTCTATCCCTGTTTCTATACCAGTGGCCCAGGAACAAGCCTCCCCAAGTCACAAGAGGGAGAGCCAGGCCCAGAGAAAGGAGGTAACGTGCCCAAGGTCACACACACAGCCAGCCACAGACAAGAGACCAGTCCTGACTCTGGCTTCCTGGCCCCGCAGGTGGACTCAGGAGATCCGGGATGGGGGCAGGGTGGCAGGGGACAGGGTGACTGGGGAGCCGGTGGGAAGCGTCTTTCCAAGCCAGTAGGAGCCAGTGTGGGTGCTTTCACCACTTCCCGGCCCCTGCCTGTTGGCTAGAAGCCCGGTGGCTGGGAATCCAGACGGCTTCTCCCTGTCCAGCCAGGAGGAGTCTGGGTCCTTGTCCCTGATCCACCGGCCCACCTGGAACCAGCTTCTCTACAGACACCCACCCCTGCCCAGGGCAGGGGGCGACAACAGGCAGGAAGGTCCTTCCTCTCGCTCCCTGGCCCACACTTAGCTCCCTAGAGAGCCCCCTGGGCACCTGACCTCTCCCCCCATCCACACCCCTGGCCTGAGATTCAGTCCCACCAGCTGGGTGGGACTGAGGAGGCAGCGGGGAGCCCGGGCAGGCTCTCGATCTTGAGCCTTCTCTAGGGTATTAAATTGCCTCCTTCTCGAGGAAGCTGAACTTCAGGGAGGCAGGCAGGTTTGCGAGACTATTAACCCCTAATGCTCGGCAGAGCCATAGGACCGCCCATCCCCCTTTGACAGGTGGGGAGACTGAGGTCCGCCTGAGAGAGGTTCCCACTCCCCTCGGGCTAAGCACCTGTCCCCACCTGCTCCCCCCCACCCATGCCCCTTACTTGGATTCCGCTCTATCTGCGGGCGGGGTGGGGCCCAGCTAGGGCCACCGGGTCTCCCCGGGCGGCGTCGGGGGCGCACGCGGGATGCTCGGGGCCGCGGCCGCTGCCTCTCGGTGTCTTCTCTACGCCGGCGGCAGAGGGCTCTGTGCGCTGCGCTGCGCCGCCGGCCCGGCTTTTAGCAGCGGGTGTGGACGCTGGCACTGCCGGGGCCCCCGCCCTCCCCGCCCGCTTGGGGTGTCCTTTGCCCCTTGATCCGGTGCCTCCTCCTCTCCTTAGCACGTGGGTGGCAGCCGCTCACCCAGCTGGCGGGCTGTGGGGCAGCCATGGCCCGGGCTATGGGCTCAGGCGCCTGCCAATCCCCGTCTGGGACCCGCTCGTGCCCGATCACCTTTAACCCCCCATCTCCGCGGGGGCTTGGTGCCTGGTGCCCAAATCTAGGGCTGGGTTGGAGAGAAGAGGAGCCACGGGTGTGGAGCCAGGCCCAGGTGGGCAAAGGCGGCGCCTGGGAGGCGCAGTTACACCCTGAGCCCCAGCCCCTCTTAGCTCTCTTGAGTTCCCATCAGGCTATCTGAGCGCCATTCATTCCCCTGGACGCCAGCTCCATGGTGCTGGGTTCCCAGCCCCTCTGTCCCTGATTTCCCTTCACCCTTAGGATCCCCACTCCCATTCCTCCAGAGCAGCCCTCCCCTTCTCACACCCCCACCCCTTACTGCCCTAACCTCCTCCTCCACAGCCTCTACCTCCCTAAGCGGTTCCTCCTGGAACCTCCTCCTGATATCCTTTCTCCCCCGGGGTCCCTGTGTCTTTCTATGACCCTGCCCTTTCCCGGAACCACTCCCCACCGTGTGTGCTCATGCTTGAGGCTCTGTCCCCCTCCCTGAACCCCACCACTTTCCTGAACCCCCTCCCCTCACCACCACCCCCCCCCCCGCCCCGCCTCCTGGGGCCCACTGGCCTCCCCTTCTGGGTCCCTACATTCCTCCTGATTCTTAGCATTCATTCCACAAACACCCCAGACACTCACAGGGTAGCAGCCCAGAAAGATGACAGGGACAGGCCAAAAAGTACTCATAAATAAGAAATGTTTTTTAAGTATGTCTCATGCACTATTTAGGGTATGTGTGTGTTTGCGTGCTAAGTCACTTCAGTTGTCTCTGACTCTGTGTGACCCTATGGACTGTAGCCCGCCAGGCTCCTCTCTCTATGGGATTCTCCAGGCAAGAACTGGAGTGGGTTGGCACGCCCTCCCCCAGGGGATCTTCCCCACCCAGGGATTGAACCCGCATCTCTTATGTCTACCTGCATTGGTGGGCAAGTTCTTTACCACTAGTGCCACCTGGGAAGCCCTCTTTAGGGTATACTTATACTAAAGGATGATTCAGGACTTTCCTGGTGGTCTAGTGGCTAAGAATCTCCCTGCCAGTACTATTTACAACAGCCAGGACACGGGAGCCACCTAGATGTCTATCAACAGATGAATTGATAAAAAAGCTGTAGATTACTCAGGCATAAAGGGGAATGAATCTGAGTCGGTTCTAGTGAGGTGGATGAACCTGAGCCTGTGATGCCAAGTGAAAGAGGAAATGTAAGTCAGAAAGAGAAAAACAAATATCATATGTTAAGGCACATATATGGAATCTAGAAAAATAATACTACTGAACCTATTTGTAGGGCAGTAATAGAGATGCAGACATAGAGAACAGACTTGTGGACACTGTAAGGGAAGGAGAGGGTGTGATGAATTGAGAAAGTAGCATTGAAACATATGTATTACCAAATGTAAAACAGATAGCCAGTGGGAATTCGCTGTCTGATTCAGGGAGCTCAACCCAGTGTTCTGTGACAACCTAGAGGGATGGGAAGGGTGGGAGGTGGAAGGGAGGTTCAAGCAGGAGGGGATACCTATGGCTACATCCTATACATGTAGGAGATACCTACATGTATACCTACGGCTGACTCATGTTGATGTATGGCAGAAACCAACACAACATTGTAAAGCAATTATCCTCCAATTAAAAGTAAAAATCTTTTTTAAAACTGCAAAAAAAAAAAAAAAGATAAAGAAAAAAGAATTTGCTTCCCGATGCAGGGGACATGGGTTTGATCCCTGGTCCGGGCAGATTACAGGTGGTGTGCAGAGACTAAGCCCGTGCACCACAATCACTCAAGCCTGCCTGCTCTAGAGCCTGAGCTCCACAACAAGAGAAGTCATTAATGAGAAGCCCCAGCACCACGAGAGAGTAGCCCCCATCTGCAGCAACCAGAGGAAGCCTGCACACAGCAACGAAGACCCAGGGCAGCCAGGAAAAGATTATTCATGTTTACCAGAAAGTCAGATTTAACTGAGCAACCTGGATTTACTCTACTCATATGTAAAACAGGGGAGGCAGAGAAGTTTGGACAAGATCTTCTCTCTCCAGGGCCCCACTTAGCTCCAGCTACATCTATTAAAAAAAAAAAAAACACCTCAGGATGACCTGTAAGTGGGTCTGCAGGTGGTTACATCCACTGTAGAATAAAAGGAGAGCAAGGTGAACATGGGAAGCAGCGTGGGAGTGGGGTGGGGCTGGCCTTCACATCAGAGAAAGACAGAGGGAAGGAGAAGTTCATTGATGCAGTCCAATCCTGGAAGGCTTCCTGAAGGAGGAAGACATTCATGGTTGTTTTGATGCTGAGAATGAAGGGAGGTGAGTTAGATGGTCTCTGGTGGATGCCTCCCCCTTCCTTAATGGAAACCTGGAGAGGCTTGAGGGTCTCTCCGTTTAAGGATGCCTCTTGAGGATCAGTAGAAAGTATCTCCCCCTTTATATGAAGATTCTTTAGAGTGAGGCGGCTATTCAGTCACTAAGTCATGTCCAACTCTTTTGCAACCCCATAGACTGTAGCCCACCCGGTTCCTGTGTCCATGGGATTTCCAGGCAAGAATACTGGAATGGGTTGCCATTTCCTTCTCCAGAGGACCTTCCTGACCCAGGAATCGAACCCATGTCTCGTGCTTGACAGGTGGATTCTTTACCACTGAGCCACCTGAGGAGTCCTTGAACACAGGGTCTCATTTCAACCAGACACTTCTACCACCTCTGGCTAGCACTTGCCAAGAGCTGGCTGCTTGCCAGCGTCCTGCCTGCACTTACTAAGCCCTTTACGTGGGTTAATTCACTGAATCCCTTCAACAACCAAATGGTGTGGGTATTTTTCCTTATTTCATAGATGAGGAAACTGAGGCACAGAGAGGTTGAGTAATTTGTCTGAGGTTCACACAGGTGAAATTTGAGCCCAGGTGTCCTGGCCCTGGGCTTCCCAAGTGGTAAAGAACTCACCTGCCAATGCAGGAGACATAAGAGACATGGGTTCGATCCCTGGATCAGGAAGATCTCCTGAAGGAGGGCATGGCAACCTACTGCAGCATTCTTCTCTGGAAAATCTCTTGGACAGAGAAGCCTGGTGGGCTTCAGTCCACAGGGTCACAAAGAGTCGGACATGACTGAAGCACTTAATGTGCATGCCCTGGGTCTGCAACCACCATGTAGCAGATCCTGTGCTGGGGGTTAGGACTGGAAAAAATGACACAAATTCTGTCCTTGCTCTTAGGGGACCTCTTGTCTAACAAGAGAGGGGGATGGGTGAGTCGTCAATGACTGGTGCAGGTCAGGCTGGGATTGGGGCTGGGCTAGAGTGGGCTGGGAAAGAAGGAAGGATTCTGCCTGTGCAGGAGGAGGTGTGTGCTGTGCCAAAAGGATGGTTCAGTTCTTCAACAGCTTTAGGTTAAGGCATCGGGAGGAAGTGCATTCTGGGTGGAGGGACATCTTGGGCAAAAGCAGGAGAGGTGCAGAGATGCAGCGTGAGACTGGGGAATGGTCAAGAGTCTGGCATGACTGGAAGAGGGTCTATATGTTGAGTATGAGATGGGCAAAAGGAAAAAGGAAGAAAAGCATAGAGGAACACAAGCATTAGACAAAGTAAGGTAGTTTCCATTGGGGAGAGGATAGGGAGCTGTAAGTTTCCATCAAAGGCAAGACTGATCAGATTTGCTAGAACAAGAGGGAGGCAGTGGAGGGCCAGCAGGGGGCGGGGGTGCTCAGCCCAAGAGTGGTCAGTCCGCCTGAGCTGGGCCAGGGCCACACAACCGTCTTGGGGAAGTGGGTGGAGGACTTACCCAGCAGAAGGGACTGACTGTCACTTGATCAAAGATCTTGGGTCTCATTCAACTCTAGATTCAGCCCCAGAACAGAATCTTTGTTAACAAAATAATACACTTGTAAATGTCAGGAGAACTGGCTAAAGAGGGGACTTACCTGGTGGTCCAGTGGTTAAGAATCCACCTTGCAATGTGGGGACTGGGTTCAATCCCTGGTTGAGGAACTAAGATCCCACATGCCACACGGGGGGGAAAAGTGACGGAGGAGTGATAATCCCTAAATTCAGGGGTGTGAGCAAGCAAGGTAGGAACATCTAGATGTATGGTTTTGGTGAGGTTCCAGTTCTGGAATTGGGTGGTAGATTCACTGATGCTCATTATAAATGAATAAATCCACAAATAAATGAAATAAATGCAGACTAAGTAGACACCAAAGAAGAGAGTGTATTGAAAAATAAGAATTACTATTAATATATTTCTGTGTACCTGAGGTCTGGATTGTAAAAGAGGATGTGTATGTGTGTGTTCTAGAATAACTGGATGTCCACATGCAGACTCTTAACTCATACCATATACAAAGATTAGTTCAAAATGGACCAATGACCTAAATAGAAGAGCTAAAAACCATAAAACCTTAGAAGAAAACATAAAGGTAAATCTTTATGATCTTGAGTTATAAAATGATTTCTTAGATATGATGCCAAAGCACAAGCAACAGAAGAAGAAAATAGATAAACAGGACTTCATCAAACTTTTCATAAAAACTTGTGTGCATCAAAGGGCCCCATCAAGAAAGTGAAAAGACAACCTACAGAATGGGAGAAAATTATAAACCATATCCCTGATAAAGGACTAGTGTCCAGAATATATAAAGAACTCTTACAAACTCAACAATAAAGAGACAAATATGGGCAAAGGATCAGAGTAGAGATTTCTATAAAGCAGATATTGAAAAGGACAAATTGCATAAGAAAAGATGGTGAATATCATGAGTCATCAGAGAAATGCAAATCAAAATCATGAGATACTTCATACCCACTAGGAGAATTATAATTAAAAAAAGATAGACAATAACAAGCGCTGGTGAAGGAACTGGAACCTTCTTTAAAATGAGTAAAATGGTAAATTTTATATCATGTATGTACCACCAAAAAATCAAAAGGAATTAAGCTCAGCTGGTAAAGAATCAGACTGCAATGCAGGAGACTCCAGTTTGATTCCTGGGTGAGGAAGATCCCCTGGAGAAGGGAAAGGCT